GAGTGGTTACCGTCGCCCATGGACTTCAGCAATGCCAGGGACAGAGCCAAGCCGCTACCTACCGCATAGTACTCTCCACAAGCCTACAAATTTTCTTGTTTTTGCAATAAACCAACGTATGACTTTATAATAACGTACCTCCGCGATTATGAAATAACTTGGACTAATAAAATGAAATCCGGAAAGTTTTAAAAAATCTTTATTTGACGATATCTCTTATTGTAACTAAATGAGAGAGAAGACGACATAAAAGCGAAGTCCCAATTGAATTGTTTAACGATTATCCTCCCTCGTTAACTTGAACGCACGATTACTTCGTGGTAAAAAGGCATGGTGGTGGTACCTTACCTTTACTCGCTAATAATACGCCTTACTACCACTAATTACGCAAATTAAAAAAAATAAAAAACTTCAGAGGTGTCAAGGGACACCCGGGTGGAACGAAGTTCCTTTCGATTAATTAGTGAAGGAATTGTAATTTTTTTTTTAAGTTATAATAATAAATTACGGCATTATGAAGAAGAAAAAAACAATACTATGAACTAAATTACTATTGTTGAAACGCTATCTCGAGAAACTGTACTCATTACGCGGACCAATCGGATACGAGCAATGTCACGCGATAAGCGCCTACACNACTATGAACTAAATTACTATTGTTGAAACGCTATCTCGAGAAACTGTACTCATTACGCGGACCAATCGGATACGAGCAATGTCACGCGATAAGCGCCTACACGTTGATTGGTCAGAATGACGGATCTAAAAAGTGTCGTGACAACTTTTCGTAAGAATTTTTTCCGTCTAGCCCCCTTTCACAACGCGCGATAAGGAACTTCGTTCCTTAACTTCCTTAACGTTAACTGGTTTAATTTTAATTACAGAATGTATTTCGTTCATCATTGCAGTTGTTCGTGAACACGCACTAGGTATTATCGTGTAGGTACTTCGTTAGAAAAAAACAATATCTAACTACAGGTTATTTTTCTAGAGCCCATTAATGTTGTTTGAAGCGTAAAATGGCTATTACGTTAATTATCAATTCAAATAAAAGTTCGGTGTTAGTGCTGATCATAAGTTCTGAGAATCATTTAAGCTCCAGAAAAGCAGTGTGTTCTTTAGACGAATAAAAAAGTCTCCGAGGCACAAAAAGATAAAAAGGCTAGATCGCGGTAGGACGCACGTCTTGTGAGTCCACGCGGGCAGGTACCACCACCCTGCCTATTTCTGCCTGAAGTAGTAATGCGTTTCGGTTTGAAGGGCGGGACAGCCGTTGTACTGTTAAAAGTGAGACCTTAGAACTTATATCTCAAGGTGGGTGGCGGCATTTACGTTGTAGATGTCTATGGGCTCCGATAACCACTCAACACCAGGTGGGCCATGAGCTCGTCCACCGATCTAAGCAATAAAAAATAAATAAATAAAAGATAAAATTACAAGAATTCCGAAGCTTATATAATTACGGCTGGTAAAAATTTACCAAAATATAATCTATTTTCACAAACAAACTTTAAAAACAAATCATAAAATGAACCAAAAAAAACAATTTTAGTTCATTAGCCGCCAAAGTCTCATTCGAAACAATTTAATAGCTTCATTGACCCTTCTTTGTTTTGATTTCGCGCAGCTATGAGCACGTCACAAGGTCGTTGAAATACGTAAAATATTTTATTTATTAAATCCCGTATATGTATATTGTGCAGTTAGTATTGCAACGGAGTTCAGTATAGCGTGTCTCGTGTGTCGAGTATTGCGAGAGCTGCGCAACAGTGATTAAAATCAGAAACATTTATATAACAAGGGTCAGTTAGACGATTGATCGCCAATTGACATGGGCGCCGCCGCGAGAAACGCTCGTCCACACGTCGTCACCAGATGGATCTGCCTCCCCGTTCCGTTAGTACATTTACATCTAATTGAACGCATTTAATTAAATTCATTTGGCAGCGGACAATGACAAGGAGCAATTATTCAAAACAATTTTCATATCGTCGCTGTCAAACCAAAAGAACAAAAACTTTGTTCTGTATTAAGGATTAAAAACATTTTCGTATAAAATTTTATACGAAGGTGAGTTTTAAAGAACTATATCAAATCAAAGCTATAGATAAATATTAAAGCTATAGACAGATAGCAGTTTTTTTTATACGGTAGATAGGGCTGTGAGCTATACGGAAAGATCAAAAAGTAAAAATCTCAAAAAGTGCACATAGCAGATTTTGGTTTGACAACGACGATATGTTGAACTGTAATGTCTTATTAAGTGATTGGATCGTTGGAGTTTTTTCAAAGATAATTTCAGTGGTCGTTTATGATAAAGAAAGAGAGCACAAACTGATGCGCCCATTCGAAACAGAGAATGCTTGCCAAGTCGAGCATGCAACTAACGTTCACTATCTACAAATTGTGAAGGTCTAGTTGTTAGCATTAGCAAATGTTAGTTTTAAAACGCATCAGTTTTCGCAACATACAACAAAAAAAGCCTGCGCAAGTGTATATTGTGGACTTCGTTTAACGAAAGAGAACCCCGAGGAAGTAGTCAAAGTTAACGATCACTATTGCAATTCCCAAAACTAAATAATAGCTGTATAATGTTCGATTACTTAACTGTAAGTAGCGAGCCGAAACTATTTGACATATAATCTTGATAAACGAAATTTCTTTGCGAATTTTTTTGCACATTTCTCGTCCACGTATCTAATTGAAAGTATTTTTTTTAATGAATTCATAATTGCAATGTCTGTCTAATGACACAACACTAATGTTTTTATTTCCATCAATTCCATTTAATACAATATCCAACGACAATTTTTTTGTCCGTATGTAAAAATTGTGTTCCTTGTTTCCTAATATATATATATATATATTTTTTTTATTGCCCTTGTAGGCAGACGAGCATACGGCCCACCTGATGGTGAGTGGTTACCGTCGCTCATGGACTTCAGCAATGCCAGGGGCAGAGCCAAGCCGCTGCCTACCGCTTAATACTCTCCATAAGCCTCGTTAATAATTAATTAATAATCCTACCAACACCTATCTTACCTACTACCTACCTACATTACCGAACTGAAAATAAAACTATTATAGTAAGTTAAACTTAAAAATACCTACTCTTCGTCTCAGTGGATTCATATTTTCCGCATACGCAATCGAATGCGAAGACTGCAGATGAGGCTCGTGTCGAGTTCCGTGGGACCCTGTATTCCGCGCCTCGGCTAATTTATAATTATGTTACATTTTAGTACAGTACTCGGTATTATCTTTAATTGTCATACGCCTTTTCAAGCCTTCTAAGCAATTTGTGTCTTTATGCATAATAATATGTTGTAAGTATTATGCACCGGTTTTGTGTTATAAAGAATTCGCCAAATTCCAACAAAACACTTTAGTGCGGAGAAGTAATCTGTCGAAGTTAAATGCCGGTCTTAAAAGCCTCTATCGCTCGAAATCAAAGCATCCGATACCTGCGACAACGAGGTCAAGGTACGAATAGCATAGATGCTATAATTCGTTTCGCAAGCACATGGGTCAGTGCCAAACTTTGGGCTGCCGGACTAGAGATCATCGGTGACACGACCTTCTGTACTCTCGGTTTGTGAACTATTCAAAGCCAGCTTAAACTGTGCCACATGCACAATACTACGAAAGGCCAGAGCCAACGTGTTCCGTGTGCTTAGTGTGAGTTTTTAAACGTTCTCGATAGCGTAAAAGTTAGCTCATATTTGTATGGAATGGGATCGTTTACCTTCGTTTGCCGTTAGGGGCGCTGTTCCAACTGCATACAAAATTGGGTTAACTTATACGCTATTGAGACCGTTAAAAAACTCGCACTAAGCACACCGATGAGCGCAGCATTCCGTTAGACTCAAATTTATGTACCACAACCACAAGTAGCCTGTTTGGGACCGCTCGACTTCGGCGTAGGCAGTGCCTGAATCACTTAGAAAATGGGAGGCCAACGAAATACGCCTGTCGCCGAATCGGCAGTGGGTGTTGGGTACGGAAGCAAAATTTTCTCTCTCCTACGCCAGCTCCTGCGTTATGATAATATATTCGTATAAACGCTAACTATGTAGCTACCAACACATTAACGTTATATAATAATATCCTATGCTAATAGCCTATGGACGGATTCTACTTCTAGAATAATATGCTTTTATTGCTTGTCTAAAATTTGTGAATTTACAATATAATAAATACTTATATAAATAAAAAGTAATAAGCTAACAAAATCTTATACGCAATCATAACTTAAAATAATAGCAAATCAATCGCAATGCTTTCAAACCTTTTCATATTTCGATTTATTGCAATACATTGTTTTTTTTTGTTCTTTCTTAGATTTTATTTAACTAAAGCACTTGTATTGAATATAAGGATCACAAGCTCCGTCAACTACATGTTATGTCGAAACAACCACGTTGAGAAATAAGCTCGAAGTTTTCAATGTGTTATACAACGGTTGTTCCTTCAAATGACTATGACAGCTTCACGAAAGAAAAATCAGTGGTGATTATAGTTACTTACCCGTTCAGATTGACAATACCAGTAACAGATGATCGAGTGGGATAATTGCTAGCAGTACTTGCTTGAAGTTACTGGCGTCACATGTATAAATTCCCTTAATAGTCCAATAGGCTGTTGTCCTGTAAGATCTTCTGGCCTTAAAGTTATGATCGGCATTCAGCATTTAGAGCAGGCTTTCCCAAAGTGGGCGATAACGCCCCTTCGTGGGCGCTACAGGCCTAAAGGGGGCGGTAAGAGACCCAAAAAAATGGGGGCGTTGTGTAGAGACTTGAAAGCGATTTGTAACTTTATCTAGGAGGACTGTTAGAACCGACTAAGCTCTCGCCATAGTGGTTTTCAAGTAGGTGAAAATATGGGGGCACTATAAAATAATTAATTCTCAAAGTGGGCAGTAGACAAAATAAGATTGAGAGCCCCTGATTTATAGCATTGAGATTACACAATATTTTATGTGACAAACTTTTCTGTTTTAGAGCTAACGGAATCGCGGCTATCCCTGAAATTGGTCCTGTGCCGAGATATATTGGCCACGCTGGCGGCCCTGGGTTTAGAAGACTCGCACCTGTGCGGCCTGCTATTCTACCACCTGCACGCCACGCTAGCAGAACGCGCCAGGCGCCACCCAGACTTATATGACGTACGAGCCCTTGACCCTTATAATACTGGCAAACAAATTATTGTCAAGCTCCCCTAAAATGTTCATTTACAGTTTAATACGACTATTACTATGACTATTTAATCTCGCGTTGTTTATTATTATAAAACCGTAAAATTAATTTTATGTTCACGATTGACGAAGACCAAAGAAAATACTGGAATTTGTTAATATCCATCCTCTGACAGTATCCTACACATGTATTACATAGTGTGATCTTTTCTAGTGGTCATGGAAGGCACTGAAGGCATGAATAATAGTGAACAATACCAGGAACGCTAAAAAAAAATTAAGTGAATGCCACCACTTTAAGATATAAGATCGAAATCTCAACTGTATTGAATAACTCATAATAAGGATCCAATTCAAGCTTGACAAGAAACTAAAAAAGTGCTTATCTTTAAAATAAAGATATACATATCAATGTCCTTCGTACTGCTGGATATCATAACTATTAATACATAATTAAATATAGAAAACTTACCCCGAAATTATCAATAAATAGGGTTTTGTATCGTGTAATAATAAAATTGTTTTTACAGGGTCTGAAATCAGAAATAGAGAGTACCATAGAAAGAGCGTACCGAATCCTCCGAGGCGATATATCCGCTCCAGTTGACCTTGAGTTGAGATATCGCTATCTTGGTCCCGATTGTGAAAAACCACAGCAAGAGAGATTCTCCATCCTCAGTATATAATCCAAATGCAAGAGTAACGAGTAGCCAAAATGTTGACGGCACAAGATTTTTAAATCAATAGTATATGTATGATATAAATATAAATATGATATAAATAGTTGACACAGTAGGTAACTTATTTGAAAAACAAATTTAATTTATGTTCACGTGTAGTTTCATAGTATACTTACATTATTTCTAGATATTAGATCGGATATGCATGATTTATTCTATTCAAACTGACCATTTCACACTGTAATTCGTTCTAACCGCTCATATGGCCGTTATGGCTTTTGACCCCCCTCAAGCGCCCCAATGTTTTTTGTTAAAGCTTTAATTTATAATACCTAGAATATTATAACGGAAAAAAAGAACAATGTTGTATTAATATTTTAAAAAAACGGTAATAAATAACTATACGAAAACTAACAGAATTTGTTTAACTGAACATTATAACTTTCGTAATTACTGATGGTAGGACGTCTTAAGAGTCCGGATGAGTAGGTAGGTACCACCATCCTGCCTATTTCTGCAAAAAGCAGTAATGCGTTTCGGCTTTACGGGTCGGGCAACCGTTGTACTGTAAAAACTGACTTGTCAAAACTCTAGTCTCAAGGTGGGTGGCGGAATTTACGTTGCAGAAGTTTTTGAGCTCTGGTAACCACTTAACACCAACTGGGCCGTGAGCTTGTCCAGTCACCTTGAGATATAAGTTCTAAGGTCTCAGCATAATTACAACGGCTGCCCCACCCTTCAAACCGAAACGCATTACTGCTTCTCGGCAGAAATAGGCGGGGTGGTGGTACCGTACCTACCTACTCATCCAGACTCATAAGACGTCCTACCACGAGTACTCACTAGAGGTCCACTGTTTTTATACTTATTTAATACCTATTTCTGAAGATTTTATAGTTTACACATCTGAGTTTCGCAACCATAGACTTTGAAAATTGTGGCCCAAGTTGCAGTGGCAATAAAATAAAAAACTTTGTCCATTTAAAATATTTTGATCTATATGAATTTAAAACATTTAATATACGTAGTACCTATTAAACTAATATGTGATTTAAAAGTCGGTTTTAGTGTTGAAAGACCCCGAAACGTGTAGACCGATTTTGATATAATTTTCAAAGAAACTTCAGCTTCAATTGGCTTAACGGGTGGGTTATTACGAGGGCGGCACTGAAATTTGCGGGAATTAACGAAGTGACACAACATTACTATTTAAAAATGTATTTATTGCTTTTCGAAGTATTCTCCGCGAAATTTGACACATTTTTCCATACGATGGAACCAATCATTGAAGCAACCATTCCATTCGGAAGTTGGGGTCTCCAAATGGCCGTTTTGTAGGCGTCCACAGCTTCTTCAGGTGATGAAAATCTCTGTCCACGCAATTTATTCTTTATTTTAGGGAAAGTATAGAAATCATTAGGGCTTAGGTCGGGGCTGTACGGCGGATGGTCTAATAATTCTATGTTTTCTTGCTCTAAAAACTCTTTTGTTCTGTGCGCGGTGTGAGAACTAGCATTGTCGTGATGGAGGATGATGCGGCGGTTGCAGTTCTCTTTACGGAGTTCAGAAACGACCTGTGGCAAACAAATGCTAGCATACCATTCTGCATTAACCGTTCTTTGTCCCTCAAGAAGAATTGTCGTAACATGGCCGGTTTTGGAGACAAACGTGGCCACCATTTTTTTTGCAACACCCCGTGAACGAACAATTTTTGTTGGCTTTAACTCATTTTTGAACACCCAAACTCGTGACTGGTTTTTTGTTTCGGGTTCGTACGCGTAGGTATATCCAGGATTCGTCACCTGATACAATGTTGTATACAGCATTTGAGGATCCTGCGTGGAATCTTTCGAGAGTTCTGACGCACCAAGTAACGCGAGCCGCTTTTTGCTCTTCACAGAGCGAATGCGGTATCCATCGGGAAAACAACTTTTTTACACCTAATTGTTCATGCAAGATTATTTGTATTTGACTCATACCAATGTCTAAAGTTGCCTGAATTTCGCGGTATGTCACATGTCGATCTTCCTCAATCAGCTTACGCACAGCATCAACGTTTTCTTGGGTGACTGCAGTTTTTGGACGACCTTGACGGGGATCATCACTGAGCTTGACACGTCCATGTTGAAACTCAGCAAACCAGCGATAAATTGTGGTTTTGGATGGGGCTTCATTACCAAATGCAGAAATCATCCGGTCAACACACTGTTTTTGTGTTAAACCACTTCGAAAGTCATAATAAATCATCGCTCTTGAATTTTCTCGAGTCAATTCCATTTTCTCAACGACTAAACAAGTTTGACAAAACCTCGTGACAAGACCGAGAATCTTTTTTTAAATAAATAAATGGTATTCGATTTTTAAAACCAAGGATATTTCAATTAAATTTTTTTTAATATGACAGAAACAGTGGAAATATTCCATTCCCGATACTTTTAGTGCAGCCTCTGTATAATATTAAGTTTGGTCGCGACAGGCCAATGTCAATTGAAAAACCAGCCAGCAAATCGAGTAGATATTATCTAGTTGTTTAAAGAAAAAATACAAGTTAAAATACAATTATTATATTAATAGACCACGTAGGTAGTTTAAAACCGTCGGCTATGGTTTTGACGGAGTTTTGAGTTTCCAATAGATAGAATTATGTAGTTAAATCCATACATAATAAAATACAGCTTAAGAAGAAACGTGAGGAGTGGAGTTGAGTTGAATTGGTTTATTTAATTCAGTTAATTTTTCATAAAGTTTAATTTGTAAAAACGGTGGCTTAAATTCATAGAGTGGAAAAATGATATCATCCAGCCATTTTGACCAGATGCGATTTATGACTAAGTATTTAGTCTTTGCTGGCTTCTAGAGTTCTCACCAAACATTCACTGGAATCAAAGTAAATTCCTACCATTTTAAGGAGATGTAATTTAATTTTTGCGCATCATAATAATTAGTACTAGGTACTTCATTACATTTTTTCCTATCTAAGCTGATAGCCTTGAGAGGCTATTTCAGCGTAACCTTATCTAGTACGTGAGCCCACGGGGCTCAAACCTGACGACGTTGCTAACACGAACCCTAGCAAGAGCCATGCTCCGCAGAATCTACCACCGGATCGGAAACGCAACCCACTGAGAAGATCCGGCGAGAAACTCAGTGGGCTGTGTCTATGGGTTAATTCGCTCGCCGAGCTCTTTGTCGCAAGCGAAGGGTTCAACGAGAACGATGACCAGTGCTTGAAGTGCCTAAAAGCCCGTTAGTTGATCGGGAGAATCCGAAATGACGTGTTTTGAGCGACGTTGACTGCTTTCCATTCCGTCCGCCGGATCGGGAATGGATCCGGCGATAGCTTAGTTTTTTACACTTTGTAAAAAATATCGGGTCTGGTATCGTGTAGCGTTTATCGATAGCTCCATCCCTATCAATTTCTCCGACTCTGCTATGACCTTGTATGTGCGTAAGCGTCGTATTTTTATATTGTGTATATAATGTAAAAAAGTCGCTCGTTCAAGTTTCAACAGGAGATGTCATCGAGAAAATAAAGAAATGGAAACAGTATATATAGTAAAACCGACACTAATTGAAAAATATATGACAATTAGGTTACGTTCCTTTTGCCTGCTGTTAATCAAATAGAGAAAACAATAAAATCGTTGAACTTGAAGTAGGTAGGTAGGTAATATTAAGTGTATAATCTATGGGTAGGTACATAAATATGAGGATAAAAAATATGAGGACTTTTTAACGGGAAAGCGAGGAGAGGAGTTGTGTGATTTATTTTGTCTACTCAGTGTTTCTTCAGGTTTAAATGTGTAATAACGGTAGTTTATTAACTGTTTAATATCTGTGAAAATGCACAAATGTAGGAAAATGAAACAAAGCCGCTGGACGTAGCTTCTCGGGATTCTCCAAAAAGTCCACTGAAAACGTCTAAGTAAATGACCACCATTTTACCGAGATTATATTTCATCTCATATCATCTCATTTCGTGCCATACCATGTTTTATATTTATCAACTACATTTAATTTCACTTCATATTATCATTTTCCATAAAAATAAGAATTTAAATTAAAATAAGTCGACCTAAAGGTTTTAGTTACCAGGTCATAAATAAAAGGTCATCTCTTAAAAAAAAACATATGAAAGACTTTTGTGTATAATCTATGGACTTTTTGGCGGGAACACGAGAAGTGAAGTTGTGTGATTTGTTTTATTTTATCTATTTAGTGTTTCTTTAAGTTGAAATGTGTAATAGCGGTGGTTTATTAACTGTTTAATATCTGTGAATGTGCACAAATGTGGGAAAATAAAACAAAGCCGGTGGACGTAACTTCTCGGGATCCTTCAAAAAGTCCACTGAAAAAATCTCTGTACATGACCACTATTTTATTGAGATTATATTCCATCCCATATCATCTCATCTCATTTCATTTAACTTCATCCCAGTTGATTAATGTCTCAAATTAATCATCTTCCATTCATTTGATTTCACTCCATATTATAATTTTTCATAAACATAAGAATATAAATTAAAATAAGACATGACTTAAAGGTCTTAGTTACCGGGACATAAAATCCCTTAAAAAAATACATATGAAAAAAAAAAATATTTCTGTGCTTCCAGGAGTTCCAGGTATATAAGAGGACTTGATATTTCTGTAGTTTTTAGATACAATTTAAGTAACAAATTAATTATAAAGAAAAAGTACCATAAAGGAACTTGCTAACAGTGTATAATAACTCTCAAAATTTAGTTTAGAAGTTGATTTTCAAGGCATACAGAAATTTGTGTTTAAAAACTTCTCTTGTTAAAACTACATTAAGTATGGTACTATAAATTGAAATAACTTATCATAATAATAGCGATAAGTGATAACAAGGCCTGTCACATTTAAATCGAATGTCATTCTTATCAACCCAACATTAACAATCAGTTCTCTGAACTACTCACTTATCCTCTTAACTGCAAAAAAACATACTCAAACTCTTCCATTATGGCATCTCGTCGTCAAGCACTTTTGCTGTCATCATCCAACTGCCATGGATACAATCTTTTAGAATTTGCCAAAGCGGAAATCTCCAGTTTCCTCCAAAGGTAGGCGTTAAATATGATAAATACTTACTTTAAATATCTTTGTACAGAGCTATCTACATGTAATTTATTGAATTTACAGGAACAATGTCAAGGATTTAATATTCATTCCTTATGCTCAAAATGACTTTGATGGCTATACTACTAAAATAAAGAATGTTATAGATCAATGGGGATTCACAGTCACTGGTCTGCACACATATCCTAAGCCAGAAACTGCTATTAGTGAATCTAAAGCTATCTTTATTGGGGGTGGAAATACTTTTTTACTTTTGAAAAGATTGTACAAAAATAACTTAGTCCAATTAATGAAAAGTAAAATTGATGATGGTAGTTTAATATACATTGGAAGCAGTGCGGGAACAAATGTAGCAACAAAAAGTATTCATACAACAAATGATATGCCAATAATTTATCCACCAAGTTTTGAAGCAATTGGCATAGTTCCATTCAACATTAATCCTCATTATATTGATAAAGTTGAAAATGAAGAACATAAAGGAGAGACAAGAGACCAAAGAATAGCTGAATATCTGGAGATGCAACATGCAGCTCCAGTGTTAGGACTGAAAGAGGGTGCAATATTGCATGTTGATGGTTCAAAACTTATCTTAAAAGGTGTAAATGGAGCAGTATTATTTAGTAGGTAAGTGTAATCCTATCTCTACATGTGTGGATGGCTTAGTGCCAAAATATAATTATTCCCATGGCCTTTATAAAATTACTTCAAAATTTTCAGGAGTCAAAAGAAAAGTGAATATAATGTGGGAGCAGATTTATCTTTTTTATTAAATGAAATTTAATGAACCTGTTTTCTTTTTTTTAAATAAAACACAAATTGATAACTTTATCATGTTTATCATGAATTTATCATGTTTATCATGAATTTTGTTTTTTTTTACTACAGTAAGAGTTTAAAGAATAATTAATCTTATAAAATGATCGGAGTTCTGCATAGATAGAAGTTATAAGTACCACCACACGTTCAACTTAGTGAGTTTTCATTGCACTTTCACAGTTAACAATTGTTTAGGATTCACAAGCTTTTTAATGAACCTTGTGTTTTAAACTGTCCTTTATTTTAATTTGTGATCAACACATCTGAAATATTCATTAAAATATCTTTCAATCCATATTAACCAGAGACAGGAGCCCGCATCAAGAGAGCTTTAGCAGCCTCAAACAGTGAAGGCTGTGGTGTAACACGAGACTGTCCAGTTCGTTCTGTTGCTGGCAAGTGACATAAATAACGGCGTAACGCCAAATCGCGCCTTGCACTCAGACCTCTGGTAATCTCGCATCCTGATCCAAACAAAACAGCACGTTGACGTTTCCTCTTTTCCATAGCCACCTGAAAATCAATTTCATAAATGTTCTATAAACAAAAATGTTGTTCAAAGATAACTTTCATTTGAATTGAAATTTGATTTCATTCAAGAGGCTAATTATCTATAGTGTAAAGAAATACACTTGTAACTTTAACAAAAGACTAAATATAATGACTACTAAAACTAAATAAAATTACCTGTATAGAAGCTACTGGATGTAAAATCTGAATATCTGAAATATCTTCAAGCTTTCTTGTTTGGATATCATGACAACCATTCTCTTGCACCAAGTTTTCAGATTTTTCGCATTTCTGATCTTGAGCAGTCTTCTCAGCTTGGAGTAATTCTTTGTTGTTTTTTAATATATCGCTCACCAAATCTTTACCAGCCAAATGTACAGAAAGACCTACTCGTGCAAGTACCCTCTCTGGTCGCCAGCGCTCACGCGCTCCGCTTGTAGGCGTTGTTTGTTCCCGACGCCGCACATCCGCTACTAAGCTTGCCCAATCGACGCCAAGTGCGTCACCTAATCCTGCTAAAAAAATCCATTATTACTTGCATATACTAGATATTTCTTAGATTATAGAACTCAAAAATTTATTCTTTTGGTTTTCTTAAAATACCTCTTGTTTTTTCCTCTTCCAGTTCTCCATCAGATATTTCCTCAAAGTCTAAGTTTGCAACATCTTCATCATCTTTGTTATCTTGTATTTCTTTTTCGTCTCCAACAGCACTTGCATCCTGCTGTATAATATTTTTAATCGCTTTTATTAGCTTCAGCGTATGTATGTATGTTTGAACATGATTTTGACCCCTTTCAAAACGTCGGAGTAACTCGAAATTTGGTATACTTATTAAGGACCGATGACAATTCAAAATTAAAAAAAAATTCTTACACTATTTTTAATTCAAATTTATTAAAATTTATTTTATATTTTTTAATTGGATTTTCTATAAAAGCATATTTTGTTAGTTTTTTTAAACTATTATTTATTTTTATATTAACATCAAAATTTAAGTCACCACTTTTGTGAACAATAAATGTGAAGAAAACACGAGATTCTGCATAGGAAATATTAAGAATATCTTTTTAAGAATGTAAGTAATTCGCTGTCTTCGGATAATATTGTGTAATGTCTATGAACTTAGGTTACAATGCAATAAAAAAATTAACATTAAATATCTATGTAAAAGTACTTACCTCGGACACTTTTTCTATACTTTCAGGCTTTATTGCCACTTCTTCAGACAGGTTTTGAGTTTCTTCTTCATTATTTTGATCCATCATCTGTTATACAATTATTAGTAGTAATGTGACAATTTTTAATTACTATCAAGTTTTTTTTTGTTGCTTAGATGGGTGGACGAGCTCATAGCCCACCTGGTGCTAAGTTGTTACTGGAACCCATAAACATACGTACGTACAACGTAAATGCCGCCACCTACCTTGCGATATGATGTCTAATGTATCAGTATAGTTAGAACGCCTGCCCACCCTTCATTCAAACCAAAACGCATTACTGCTTCACGACAGAAATAGGCGATTTGATGGTACCTACCCGTGCGGACTCACAAGAGATCCTGCCACCAGTAATAGATACGACAGTAGCTCAGCTTTCCTCCGAGTGTGCAATGGGTTTTTACTTACATCTTCTCTATTTAATATATCATCAGGATCATCACTGATTTCACTAAGATCATCGGGTATTGGTTTTTCTTCAATTTCCGTTTCTTGACGAGTAGACGCTGTAGAAGTTTGAGGATGACCGGTATCTTTCGAACTTTGATCAGGTTCATTTCGAACATTTCGACGTTTGTCACCGCGATCGACATCTAATCTCATGCCTCGACCATACTCATCTAAAAAATGTAATAACATGTTTTGTATAATTAACTTAAAAAATAAACTTTTGGGTCAGTGTCGAAATATTTATTTAAAGAACATAATATGAAACCCTTTGAACTGATACAGACACTACTTCTCTATCTTCTTTCGGTAATGACAATTCACCATTGTTTTTCCCACTAAACTTAATTCTTTAGACTTGTGCAGGTCATGCTTGAAGCCAGAATCAATAAGTGTATCAAGAGTCTGCCTATTTCTACCGCAAAGTAATCATGTTCTTCATTTTGAAGAGTAAGACAGCTGTTGTATTGACAATGGTGAGACTTCTTTCTGAAGGTAGATAGTTATGCTCATGATATGGACTACAGTGATCTCTTAACATATACACAAGGACAGTGAGCTTATTCAGCCATATATTCCAGTACAGTGTACTTATATTCATACAAATATGTTATGGTTAGATTTTGTAATAGGTACATTTTTTTCTAATAATCGTAATAATTTTGTATCTAATACACAATACATTACAGCTATGGACTTTGGTAAACCAGATAGGCATTGAACTGTTAATTTACCCAAATTGGAAATTACAATGTATTATTTTCTAATTAATCTAACCATGTATTCGACCACGATGTTGACCAGGATGACCTCTATGGTGCCAATTATCTTCTGGATCTTTATCACCCCATTCTCTCATCTAAAAAGAGTACAGGATAATTTTACTGTTTATAGAAATTATTTATCAAGAATCTAGCAAAACAACATGAATATATTTATAAAAACAATTATAAAAAAACTCAATTACTTTAATTTACTAAGTAAATAAGCACATACCATAATGAGGATAGGGGCAGCCCAGGAATAAATGGGATAAAATTAAACAGGAAGCGGTTTTATTATAATCAACTAGTTCATTCTGATTGGGCTGGTTATACCAACTCACCTGTGGCAAAAAGAAGATATGGGAAGAAAAGGGAATGGAATGGAATAGGAAATCTACAGGGAACAATTAATGCAATATTTATATTTTGTTTTGATTGCTTTTATAATAAGCATAATATACACCAGAACCTGTAAAAAATCAGTCAACAAAATGAAGTAGTAATAGAATGTAGTAGTAGTAGTAACCTCCAAGTATGCTATTGTTTCGAGTTAACATAACCATCTTTTTAATTATAGTTGAAGATTAGAATTTGCTAGTCTCTTTGATCGTTTAGGAATATGGAGATGATAGGTACATAAGAAAACTAACCTGAGAATCATGAATAGGCCAGTGTCTATCTCGACCCCAGTCGCCGCTGGCATGATAATCTTCATTGTCCCAATCTTTTCGATGCATGTATGCACGTTCACGATCAAGAGAGCCTGAACGTCCTTCCCAAGAACGATCTCGATGTGGTCGTCTTTCATTATAACCTAAAAAGAATATTTAAACATTGTTAATAATTAAGCTAATAAAAATTATGTATTTAATGAATTGTAATTTTTCGAGTTGTAAATTAATACATACACATTTCAACATCTCTGTGATCTCCCATATGTTCATTATAGATTCTATCATCTTCTTCAGGAAATCCTCTCGGCGGACCAGCAATTTCATATGGCGCTTCATAGTGTCTTTCTCGCCCTTGTGCACCATAGCCAGGTGACCGATCGTCATCTCTAGTAACGCCATCATAACGATCGTTAACTCTATCATAATGGTCAATGCCATGATCATCATATTGTCTGTCAATACCCATACTGTATTCACCCTGTTCTCTGTCATTGCTGCCCAAGCGATCTCGTTTACTAGACCGCTCTCTCTCAAGTCGTTCTGGCTTCCTACCTCCGCGTTCAGAATGTGTATCTTGTCTATCTTTTGATGTATTCGAGTTTTTATCTGATTCCAGAGTTCTATTTGAAATGGCAGCTAGTGCAGCTAGACGTTCTTCAGGTCTTGGAAGAAGTCTCTCCATCGGTTTATTTGGTTTTTCTAAACCTTTATCACCTGTACTTCTTCCTCCAAGACCTCGTTCACGACCCCTTCTTTTACTATCATCCCGTTTAACCTCTTTTCGCTCGCGACCCCTATCTTTACGATCGTGCCTGTCTTTATCATCATATTTTTCTTTTCTTCTCTCTAAGGATCTATCTTTATGATCACGACCTCTCTCCCTATCACGACTAGTAGACCGTTTTCGATGTCTATCAGGACTGCCATCTCTGCGGGATTGCTTTTTGGGTGACACAGGCCTGCCTCTCTCAGGACTCTCCCTTTTTCTATTATCCTTTGCATTTTGTCTAGGAGATCTCGAACGACCTTTTCGTGGAGTTCTACTACGTGCTCTGTTTCTGTCTCTTTCTTTTTCTCTATCCTTATCTCTATCTTTTTCTCTTTCTTTCTCTTTATTACGTTCTCGTTCTTTTTCTTTATCCCTAAAATGTGGAGACACACTTCTATTCCTATCTCTTCTTAAGGGTGATTTACTGTGTTTAGACGAACTTTTAATAAGTGTCTTGGATGTTATGGGTGGAGTACCACCAGACTTTTTACCTGGAGATAGTGACTTTTTTCCTATGGGAGTTTTAGAAGTTGATTTCTTTTTGGAACTATCACTCTTTTTTATTAATCTATCATCTTTTTTTGTAATATTTTTTTTAACATCACTTTTATCTTTTTTGGACAGTTCACTCTTCACATTGTATTTCTTTTTTGTTGGTATGTTTCCATCTGAAGAAGAACTGGAATTTCGTTTAAGTTTTCCTTTTTTAGTTTTCCTTCTAGTTTCCCTAAAATTATTTAACATTATCATAATAATCTAAAAGAATGTATAATAACCCTTTTTATATTATGTAAATAAATCAATAATGCACGTAATATACAGTATGCAATTATTGCCTTATAAAACTAAGATTTCATTTTCAATATTATTACCAGTTGTTTCCTATTTCATCTCCTTTGGAATCTATAATTGAAGCTTACTTTTGCAAAACTAGAACTCATATTTTTTTTAATTTTTAACTCACCTATTTATTTTCAATTATTTACTGTTGCTACACAGTAGGGCCTGCCAACTCTAATAAAAAACACTATCTTATCAGAGCTCCAACACTAGGTTGTAGGTTGTTTTCACATTGTTTGTGTCTATTACTTAAAGGGAACGAAAACAAGGTTTTAAGTGGGAGTATGAGTAATAGAAACTGAGTAAAAGATTAAAGGCGTCATGGTCTAAAGAATAGGAGGCCCAGTGCATTCACATTGAGTGATGTGACTGTCCTTGTGTTTGAAACCTGCAGGCAGTCCCAATTTTTCCAATAAAATATGTTGTTAACAAATGTCCAAGAATAGCTTCCACGATGATGGAATAACATCTATACTAATATTATAAAGAGGAAAGATTTGTTTGTTTGTTTGTATTGAATAGGCTCCGAAACTAATGAACCGATTTGAAAAATTCTTTCACTGTTTGGAAGATACACTATTCCCGAATGACATAGGCTTTAATATTTTTTGAAAAAATTAGGGATCCTTATTAAAACTCCAATAATGTAACACAAGGTGTAACAAAATTACCTAAAATATTCTTTAAATTGCGTGCCCTGCGAAAACCATTGATGGTAGAATAAAATAGTGTACTACGACTTTGTAGAACACATTGTTATTTACAAAAAGTGTCGCGACAGCATATGTCTAACTATTATAATTATGCTGCAATAAGTGTTCTTTTATTTTAAAAAATAAAACGTCAAATATTGTTGAAATTTTTGTTTAAGACCCGAGGGGAGCCGGAGCGGACTGCTTGTTGTGTAATAAAAACGAAACTTACAAAATTTATAATTTGCATAAATACTGGTGTCTTGTGGCCACTTAATATCAGGTGGACTGTGAGATGTATCACCCATCAAAGCAATAAAAGAAAAAAGTGAGCAATAACTCAGTATCATCATACCCAGTGATGCAACAATGATGGGACTCAAATATGTTAATTCAATCTTAACACATAGGTCAACAAGAAGGTATCAAATTGAAAAAATTGTATATAAACCAATTAATTGTGTAGTAAAATAATACCTAGACAAATTTATAATACAAGTAAAAAGTAATCAGTGGTTGTAGGGCACAATGAGCTTTATGGTTAGGTGCTACCATCTTGCTTATTTCTGCTGTAAAGTATTTGTGAGTTCCACACAATGTCATAGAGAAAAAAGGTTAAAATATGGATGAAAAAAATATCTACAACTAGCAAGGCCTCAAAAAGCTAGAGCTGAAATATTAATCTCAAAGCTTAGTACTCTCAACAAATGCATTAATATAATAATAATAAATTCAGTATAAATTTTACACTCTCTCACTGCTCTAATAAAAATGAAAAATATAGAAATTATGCATATCATGTTATGTATAGGCATAGAGCAGGGGTCTCCAAATGGCGGACCACGGACTACATCCAGACTGCCAACCCATTTTGTGCTGATTGCGCGAACACAGCAACTTCCAGTACAGAGTACGGAAGTTTCCAGTGAAGAGTTCCACATAAAATTTGTGTATGGTGGTAAACATTCAGAACTACAAAACTCAAACTACTTACTTTGTTTGGGTCAATATATGTTTGTTTTTTTTTTTTTTTTCCTACCTATGCTGATTGCCTTGAGAGGCTATTTCAGCTTCGCCCTAACGTTTGTAAGTGAGCTCGCGGGGCTCAACAGGAGAGTTGCTAACACTGACCCTAGCAAGAGCAGTGCTTCGCAGAATCTACCACCGGGTCGGAAACGCGACCCACTGAGAAGATCCGGCGAGAAACTCAGTGGGCTGTGTCTATGGGTTAGTTCACTCGTCGAGCCCTTCGTCGCAAGCGACGGGTTCGACGAGGATGGTGACCGGTATGTTTGTAAAGCAGCATTTTCGAAGATGAAATTCATTAAGAATAAATTTCGATCTCAACTTACTGATGAATATTTCCAGGACAATGGCTTGCACTATTTTACTCCCAAACTTCATACAGATAGTCCACAACAAAATATGTCATTTTCATCATTGATATTTAAAATAAAATACTATTTTTATTCCCATGATTACTTTTGTTTAATAATAATTTTTTCTATAAAATGTAGTGCTGACAACGATTGTCATTTCATTTCATTAAACAAACCCGAGAGAAACTAATTGGTGACCGCTGGCAAATGGATTCAAATCATAATATTTAAATATTTAAAAAAAGTCAATTATTAAGCATAACTTGCCATTAAAAATTTAAACCACTAAGAATTAACAGCAGTGTTTTAATACTGATCCCTTTTTTAACTAAAAGAGAATACTTATCTAAATTGTATGGACTTAATAAAAAAAATTGCTACTGTACTTTTTTACACTTAATCCTGTAATTTCATGCTGAATAATCTAAAATATGCGGATTCATTTATGGTTTCAGTCACACTGTCTATTAGGTGAAGACCTTATACATTTTCAGGACAGTTCTGTTCATTTTATATTTCATTAACCGTACCTTTCATTTATTTAAAGTGTATATTACAATTTCACTTTTTTGCTTAGCAAACAATTAAGTGAAAGTCAAATAAGATTAGTCTTTAGCAGAGAAATAGCTATAAATGGAAGAATCACATATGATCTCTAATAAAATCTTCTGAAGTCACTGAATTTAGAACAAATTATAATGTGAGTTACAATAACAATAGATCAAAATTATACTTCAAAAAAATGTGTTATGTCTTCACTTTTAAATGTTTTATTTAATGTCCTTCCATAAAATGAGTTTAACCTTTTTTTTTTATTAAAAATCATATACTTAAAATGATAAATTATTGTGCCTGTTATATTGTAAAAAGCAGCATATGGAGAGATAACCAATCAGTTTGGCAATATGCCACTAAAATACATTGCTGCTTCACTTAAGCAGTTAATGTCCATGCCGAAACACAAAAAGAAGGGTGAGGCCAAAGGAATAGTATGCAACTTTAGTTTTAACTGAATTTTGACCACTTCATAACATATAGTCAATTTTTAACATTTATTTAGTCATTAATGTAGCTTTTAACAATATATGACTCTTGAAATTTCACCATAATCTTTGCTGATGAGTTTTATATGGTTAGTTCTAATGTTGATCAATACTTAAATAAAGTAGCTCCATCTTTCATTTGTATATTTAATTTGTAGAACACAGAATTAGACATGTCATGTGGGATAATTAATATTTCACAATGGTGAGACTTACCTTCCAGATGAAGATGACGATGTGCTGCCGTCTGATGAAGACGACGAAACACTCGAAGAACTAGAGCTTCTAGATGAAGACGTACTGGACACGACTTTTTTTTTATCTTTTCGCATGTCTTTGTTTGAATCCATTTTCATCTGTAATTCTAGTTCACGCTGCAACTGCTGTCTTCGTTTTTCGAGGACATCTGTGTCTGCATACTCTAAGTCATTTTGGTCCCAGTTATCGATTTCTCCTTCGGGGCTTTGACCTGACCGCACTATAACAGTAGAATGCAATCTAGTCTTCCCATCATCCTTCACTAAACGTTTCTGATCATTGTCTTTATGAGCTGCGCGTTGTTTAGAAGGACTGATAAGAGTATGCGTAGAAGCAAATTTACAACTTTTGCCGTAAGCACAGCTGCCGTGTTGGGCCCACTGTCTACAATGTTCAGTTGTTTTTTTAGCACTTGATGATTTCTTAGTACCGAGCCGATCAAACACACTAGGTCTAATAGAGAGATCTTTCGTTTTCGGCAATTCAACAGATATTTTTCTTTTTCCTTGTTTTGACATTATAGTAGAAATACATTTGTATCACATTAAACTAAAAAAAAAGAACTAAAAAATAATCTTCTCTAACCGGCACGGTGAAGTCAAGTAAATTAAAGGTTTTATATTTTTTACAAAAAGGAATTGTACAAACATTTATTTATGGTCTATTATCTATGACAAACGCTATTATTTGGAGCGATTTTTTTCTACTAGTTTCTCTTAGTAGGCAAGCGGAATGTAGTTCTCGTTACATAAATTAATATTTACTTAAATCTTTGTTTAACAACACGTTTGCATGCAGTACGGCAATGGATGGCCATAATTCCTAACATAGCTTACAAGTTACAATCAGCTTACATCTCAAACTCAAATAATAAGCGTATTATCTATGATAGCTTACAAGGCCCAAGGCAAAAGCAGAAGCGCTTTTACACGTGGAGTAGATAGGTAGGGCTCACTAAATTTGGCCCCTCGTTTTTTGATTTTTGGATTTTTTTTATTTTTAATTATTTGTTCGTCGTTTGTTCGTTAATTTTCGAATGTAAAAATTGTTTGTTCGTCTTTTAATTATTTATAATTAATTAAACAAATGATCTCCCTTAAGTTGGGCCCCCCCTTACTAGATATCTTTATTTTCATCGCTCAGATTAATTAATTTTGATCAGTTACATTATTAAGCCGCACAAACTAATACTTAAATTAGTTATCTCACAAGTGTGTATAATCTATAGATACTTAAAATTTATGGTATAATCCATAGACCTATATAGTAGGGACACGACATATTGTTCTATACGTACAATTGCTTATATAAATAGCACCCATTTTGAAGGCACATACATAAACATATATCTATCTCGTTCTTACTCAGCACTTTAACTCGCAGGAAAACAATATAACAGTATTTCAGTGCGTACATAAAATGAAACATGAATATACGTAAATGTCTCCGTCTCCGTCTAATGAGGCCGAAAATCCGCCATGTTTAGCGCGCCAAATGTCATTGTCACGTCAGTTCGGCCGTCTGTTTTGGGTTGTACATTATTTATTGACTTTGATATCGATTTAATATGATTGATTATATAAAATTTCATAATTTATCATGCTTAAAACATACAAAAATAATAATTAAAACGTATTTTATAGGATCTCAAGAAAGTCGATGCCCTAAAACTATTATCTATATGTATTTAAATTCATTATGGAGCCCTCATCCGAAAAATCCATTTTTCGGTCGGAATCTATTGATCATGACACTAATCATAAATACCACTTTAAAATATGTCATCAAAACATATTTAGACATTCTGTTTAGATATTTCGGGAAAAAGGCTACCGACAAAATCTCTTCGGAACTATTTAAATAAAATAGTTTTATTCCGCAGTGAGTAAAACACTATTGTAAATTTGTTAAATATTTAATAATTAAGTGATTTTAGAGAGGAAGTCACAAGGAATGACGTTTGTAATTAATGAATAAATGTTCTGTAGGTGTTTTTTTTTTCACGCGGTCCCTTGATAAGTTTAAAATTTGAATCACTCTCAAGCGAAAGTGATTCAAATGGTGCGTCGCAACTTCCTTGGGGTGCGCTGCGGTAGTATGTTACGGACTTTAGAGTCAGCAAAACAATTAAAATAGATTGTAATAGTCTAAGAAAAACACGTACTCAAAATACGACAACATTTAGCATGCTAGAAATGGGCTGATGGCTTTGAACTACGCCATATCTTTATGTTTTGCGACAAACGACAACTTTATAAAATCAGTGTAGCAACTTTTAAAAATCATCATATCGCTTACTTGGCAAATTCGAAGGACGAATTTGCACATAACAATATGCTTACTTACTTCCCATTAAAGTATAAATTCTACAAATAAATAATACTCAACAATATTTAAAATAAAATGAGCCAAGAACGTTTATCGATAAAATCTGATAACATTGAAATATTTTGTACAGCACTAAAGCCGCCATGTTTTGTGGCCAGATGACGTCACAGTGGCACGAAATTTTGGTTGACGTTTCATTTCCATAGGTTTCCTACTTCATTGGTATAATCGGATCTATTCCGTTCTTTAATCTATAATCGGATTTTTGGCAGGAACGCGAGGAGTGAAATTGTGTGATTTGTTTTATTTTGTTTACTTAGTGTTTCTTCAAGTTTAAATGTGTAATAACGGTGGTTTATTAACTGTTTAATATCTGTGAAAGTGCACAAAAGTGGGAAAATGAAACAAAGCCACTGGACGTAACTTTTCGGGATTCTCCAAAAAGTCCACTGAATCAAAATTCTCAGTAAATGACCACCATTTTACTTAGATTATATTTCATCTCACATCATCTCATCTCATTTCATTTCACTCCATATTATGATTTTTCATAAAAATTAAAATATAAATTAAAATAAAAAATGACCTAAAGGTCTTAGTTACCAGGTCATAAAATCTCTTAAAAAAATAAGGTACAATCTATGATATTGTGTGTCATAGATTAAACACTGAAGTGTGTTCCATACATAGACCTATATAGTAGGGACACGACATATTGTTCTATACGTACAATTGCTTATATAAATAGCACCCATTTTGAAGGTACACACATAAACATATATCTATCTCGTTCTTACTCAGCACTTTAACTCGCAGGAAAACAATATAACAGTATTTCAGTGCGTACATAAAATGAAACATGAATATACGTAAATGTCTCCGTCTCCGTCTAATGAGGCCGAAAATCCGCCATGTTTAGCGCGCCAAATGTCATTGTCACGTCAGTTCGGCCGTCTGTTTTGGGTTGTACATTATTTATTGACTTTGATATCGATTTAATATAATTGATTATATAAAATTTCATAATTTATCATGCTTAAAACATACAAAAATAATAATTAAAACATATTTTATAGGATCTCAAGAAAGTCGATGCCCCAAAACTATTATCTATATATATTTAAATTCATTATGGAGCCCTCATCCGAAAAATCGGACACCATTTTTCGGTCGGAATCTATTGATCATGACACTAATCATAAATACCACTTTAAAATATGTCATCAAAACATATTTAGACATTCTGTTTAGATATTTCGGGAAAAAGGCTACCGACAAAATCTCTTCGGAACTATTTAAATAAAATAGTTTTATTCCGCAGTGAGTAAAACACTATTGTAAATTTGTTAAATATTTAATAATTAAGTGATTTTAGAGAGGAAGTCACAAGGAATGACGTTTGTAATTAATGAATAAATGTTCTGTAGGTGTTTTTTTTTTCACGCGGTCCCTTGATAAGTTTAAAATTTGAATCACTCTCAAGCGAAAGTGATTCAAATGGTGCGGCGCACCTTCCTTGGGGTGCGCTGCGGTAGTATGTTACGGACTTTAGAGTCAGCAAAACAATTAAAATAGATTGTAATAGTCTAAGAAAAACACGTACTCAAAATACGATAACATTTAGCATGCTAGAAATGGGCTGATGGCTTTGAACTACGCCATATCTTTATGTTTTGCGACAAACGACAACTTTATAAAATCAGTGTAGCAACTTTTAAAAATCATCATATCGTTTACTTGGCAAATTCGAAGGACGAACTTGTCTTAGATTTCACCCATCTAAATCATATCATATTTGCACATAACAATATACCTACTTACTTCCCATTAAAGTATAAATTCTACAAATAAATAATACTCAACAATATTTAAAATAAAATGAGCCAAGAACGGTTATCGATAAAACCTGATAACATTGAAATCTTTTGTACAGCACTAAAGCCGCCATGTTTTGTGGCCAGATGACGTCACAGTGGCACGAAATTTTGGTTGACGTTTCATTTCCATAGGTTTCCTACTTCATTGGTTCCATAGATTATACACATAATATATTTGAGTGTGTTCTAAAGAAATAGAATTAAGCTAATTATTCAATTACTCAACTGTTTGAATTGAATTTATAGTACCTACGGTACATATTCGAAAGCTTTAGAATGCCTCTTCTAGACGGAAAAGAAATCGACATATTCTTCGTAAGTTCAAAAATATTTTTATAATTTACAATGCTTAGTGTGCATACATATTTACTTTTGCCGACATATGAAAATACAATCAACAAATATTTTTTTCAACCCAAATTCAATTAACAAAGAAACCTTAATATATCAACTGCTTTAAAAAATCTAACCAAAGCTTTTGTGGTTTTCTGGTACGTTGATATCAAACATTATTATCATATTAATTCAAATAAAATTGTTATTGTTACAGAGTGAAGAAGATCTTCCGTATGAAGAGGAAATCCTAAGAAATCCATTTTCTGTCAAACATTGGCTTAGGTACATTGAACACAAGAAAACTGCACCCAAACATGAAATTAATATGATATATGAACGAGCTTTAAAAGAATTACCAGGATCTTTTAAACTTTGGTATAACTATCTTAAATTAAGAAGAAAACAAATAAGAGGTCGCTGTATAGCTGACCCATGCTATGAAGATGTAAACAATTGCTTTGAAAGGTCTTTAGTATTTATGCACAAAATGCCTAGAATATGGATGGATTACTGTTCATTCTTAACAGATCAGTATAAAATAACTACAACAAGGAAAGCGTTTGACAGTGCTCTTAGAGCTTTACCAATAACTCAACATCATAGGATATGGCCTCTTTACTTAAATTTCTTGAAGAAACACAATATACCCGAAACAGCTGTAAGAGTGTTTCGTAGGTATCTTAAATTATGTCCTGAAGATACTGAAGAGTATATTGACTACTTAACTTCAATAGATAAATTAGATGAAGCTGCAGTCAAATTGGCTCAACTAGTTAATAATGAGAATTTTCAATCAAAACATGGAAAGTCAAATCATCAACTTTGGAATGAATTATGTGAATTGATATCAAAGAATCCTGATCAAATTCATTCTCTGAATGTCGACGCTATTATCAGAGGGGGATTAAGACGTTACACTGATCAGCTAGGCCACCTGTGGAACTCTCTTGCAGACTATTATGTTCGAAGTGGTCTTTTTGAAAGAGCCAGAGACATTTATGAAGAAGCTATACAAACTGTGACTACAGTGAGGGATTTTACACAAATATTTGATGCTTATGCACAATTTGAGGAATTAAGTCTTAGTAAAAAAATGGAAGAAGTTGCCAAGAAAACTAATCCAAGTGAAGATGATGATATTGATTTAGAATTGAGACTTGCCAGATTTGAGTATCTTATGGAAAGAAGGCTGTTACTGCTTAATTCAGTTCTACTTAGACAAAATCCACATAATGTGGCTGAATGGCATAAAAGAGTCAAATTATATGAAGGTAAACCCCATGAAATAATAGATACATATACTGAAGCAGTGCAAACTGTAGACCCTAAATTAGCTGTTGGTAAACTTTTCACACTGTGGGTTGGATTTGCAAAATTTTATGAAAACAATGACCAAATTGAAGATGCCAGATTAATTTTTGAAAAAGCTACACAGGTAGCATATGTTAAAGTAGACGATTTAGCTTCAGTTTGGTGTGAATGGGCTGAAATGGAAATCAGACATGAAAATTATGAGCAAGCCCTAAAATTAATGCAAAGAGCCACTGTTTTACCAAGCAGAAAAGTAGCATATCATGATGATTCTGAAACTGTGCAAATGAGGTTGTATAAATCACTAAAGGTTTGGTCCATGTATGCTGACTTAGAAGAGAGTTTTGGTACATTCAAATCTTGCAAAGCTGTGTATGATCATATTATAGATTTAAAAATTGCTACTCCACAAATTATTATCAATTATGGATTATTTTTAGAAGAGCATAATTACTTTGAAGAAGCTTTTAGAGCATATGAAAAGGGTATTGCCTTATTCAAGTGGCCTAATGTGTATGATATTTGGAATACATATCTAACAAAATTTTTAAAAAGATATGGTGGTTCAAAACTTGAAAGAGCAAGAGATTTATTTGAGCAATGTCTTGAGCATTGTCCCAATGAATTTGCAAAGTCTATTTTCTTATTATATGCAAAATTGGAAGAAGAGCATGGTTTAGCTAGACATGCAATGTCTGTATATGAGAGAGCTACTACTGCCGTTCTACCTGAAGAAATGTTTGAAATGTTCAATATTTATATTAAAAAAGCTGCTGAAATTTATGGAGTTCCTAAAACACGACAGATTTATGAAAAGGCTATTGAGACTCTTCCTGAAGAGAAGGCTAGGGAAATGTGTGTTCGCTTCTCAGAAATGGAAACTCGCCTAGGTGAAATTGATAGAGCTCGGGCAATATATGCACACTGTAGTCAAATGTGTGATCCTAGAATTACAGCTGATTTTTGGAACACTTGGAAAGAATTTGAAGTTAGGCATGGTAATGAAGATACTATGAGAGAAATGTTAAGAATTAAAAGAAGTGTGCAAGCCACATATAATACACAGGTGAATATGATGTCTGCACAAATGTTGAGTTCTGCAGCACAGGCAGCTGGTACTATATCAGATTTAGCACCAGGTATGAAAGATGGAATGAGAATGCTTGAAGCCAAAGCAGCTGAAATGGCAGTACAGAGTAAAGGCAACATTCTATTTGTGAGAGGAGAAACCCAAGGACTTAAAGAGAGTTCTGACAAAGTAGTGAATCCTGATGAAATATCAATTGATGAAGAATCCGATCACAGTGATGATGATGCTGAAGAGGATCCAATCCAAAAGAAAGATGTACCAACTGCTGTTTTTGGAGGACTTGTCAAGGATAATGAAGACTAGACTACTGTCTTGTAAAATTTTAATTAAACATGATTCTAAATAATAAGTTTTTAATAAAAAATAAGGTTTTTTTACAAGCAATTTTTATAATGTACAACAGAAATCACAGAACACTTTTATTTTAAAGCTAAGTAAACTAAAGTTAAGAGATAAATTGAATTAAAGCAATTACACATGTTTTATAAACTTGTTAATTATTGATGCACAGTTTAGCAATACCTACAAAAAAGGACAGTTCTATAAAAACAATGTTCAAATTAAATTATTGTATTATGGGTCATTAAATTATGTCTCTTGGAGGAGTAATGAAATGTAAAGAGTTCGAATACATATTTTGATGTTCAGAAAATGTTAAAATACTAATATCATTATGAACACCTCCAAACATTATTAGTTCACCATTTCCTTTTACTAATGAATACATTACAAGTTCTTCAGGTGCTCCATTCATTTCTCCAAGTCGAGGACACAACCAAGACACATAATTCAGGGTGTTTTCATTTAGTACTGTGGAAATATCTAAAACATGCATACTTAATGTGTTTCGCTTAATTTTTTTTACAGCTGGTTGTCTTTGCTGGGCAATGTCTTGTGGAGGAAGTTCCCTTCGATGTTCCAGATGAGCAATCTGCCTTTGATTAATGAGATCATTTTCTGGAGCAGAATTGTTTATAGACGAGTCACAAGCAAATGCTGCCATTCTGTATTTGTTAGCTTCTTGTAGTTGTCTTACTATTTTTAATCCTTTATTCTGAAATAGTAAAATGCATGTTAAATTACTATAAATCATAGTAATGCAAGCAACATTAATAATCAAGTAAAGATACCTTATTTTTGTTCCTCTTTATCGCCAAATCTTTTTTTGCACAGTCTAAGTTATTACTAGATAGCTTATTGTCTGAACTTAAACCAGAATCATCTATATTAACGTTAATGTCATTTTGTGGTTCAATAGTCACTTTTCTAGGACTAATTTGGGCATTACTAGGTCCAGCAACAGGTTCTACATTTGAATCATTCTGCTCACACTTCAAAGGATTTGATGGCCTTCTAGGTAGTTCTCCTCTTCTACCATTTATATTTTGATCTCTATCTAAAGGCCTTTGCAAACTTTGCTGAACTCTTACAGAAACTGGAGCCCCTTCAGGTCTACTTAAAGCTGACAAACGCACAGCTGATGTTACTAATGGTTTAGCACTATTCCATCCATTTCTGCTTCTACTCAAACTCACAACTTTATCACCAACTTTGCAAGCTGGATTACACCAAATATTAGCTGCAGCCCATTCCTTATTTTTGACAGCAAGTTCTTTCCATGTCCAAGTAGATCCTTTCATAGTTAACACCCAACAATCACTATACACAAATCGATTATGCAATGTTTGCACACCTCCTAACAGCATCAACCTTCCACAATCCAGTTCCAAAAGAGATTGAGCATAGCGTGGTGAAGGTCTTGGTTTTGTTGTTGGTTGTTTTCTCCAAGTGAGGGAAGGTATATCTAGTACCCAGACATCATTCGAACATTGAATTTGATGACTATTTGCTGTTGACAGTACTAACCCTCCAAACACAACCATTTCATCATCCCTCACACAAGCCGAATGTCCAGCCATTGGTGGTGGGCTATTGGATGCATTGATCAATATCCATTTATTTGTTTCTAAGCAATAAAAATGAATTTCATTGAACATTGTGACATTTTGATAGTACTGTGAAAGAGATGGATAAGTCCAACCACCAAAGACTATTAAATAATTCTTGTAATGTACCATTGTAGTATAGGCCTTAGGTACAGGATAAGTGCCAGTTGCTAATGGTCTTACCCATTTTCTAGTTGATAAATCAAATTTCCAAAGATCATTAAATGATGTAGAATTAGTTGTGCATCCCCCAAATATGTACATACTATTTTCAAGTATACATGCTGCATGTGAAAATCGTTTTGTTATAACAGGAAACATATTTGTTGGAGAAAGGTTTTTCCACAAAATTTTAAATTCTCCAATTGCTTTTACAAGTTTTATAGAGGTTTTGTGTAGAACATCTGAAACAAAAACATGAAAAAATGTAAAATTTTGTTATTGGCATATTACAATAGTGAACGAAGAACGAGTTCACTCACTTTGGGCACACGCGTACCATCTCCTACAGACACCACCACAGTTCTCTAAGTCTCTGTAGGGAGGCAAAAAACTTAAAATAAACTCCAGTACTTCATCAGGAAGGTCTTCAATTGTACTTCGCAAAGTCTGTTCTTGTAAAGATTTATGAATGATTTCCATTTTAACAAAAAACTACAAACTTTTGTTTGGTGTTCACAAAATTGAAACTATGTTCAGGGTACTCGGAAAACCTATGATAATGACATTGATGGTTTATTCAATATCAGTTATTTCAATTGAAATATGTGTTTTTGTTTGCTTATTGCATGGCTTTGCATTGCAATTTATCATTACAATTGTGGTTATATTGACATTTGATTTTAAGTATTTTCTTGACTGATACTGCGTTCTAAAGTAGTCTGTGATTAACAACTTCCTACTCTGTTGCACTGGCCTCTGTGGTACCTAGTTACCTACTTTGTGCACAAAAAATGTAACTTTAAATCTCGTTTCAAGCTGTGAATCCAACATGACTATGAGTTGGGCAGGTAGTAATTTTCCAACACGATTGAATTTTCCGTTGGGGTCAGCCGCTTTTCCAGGCAGTAGACTTTTATATAATGATAGTAACGTTGGGCTACAGGCCCGAGACCGGCAGCGAAGCTCTGCACTTGACCTCCCTTTCTTTTCTCTGTATTCCGGGTCCGGACTGAGTACTGGGTGTACACTGGACTTGCAAATCAACCGGTAAATCTGCTTTTCTTTGTCGCTCAAAATCAATGTGAAATCGTTACCAGAGTCCATAGACATCACTTAAGTGAATACGCTATGAGCTAGCTAAACAAAATATGGAGAGATCAGAACATACTCAATAAAACGAAAGTACAAATTGTTGAGACGCTCGTTTTCTTAATCTTTTTGTATGGGACTGTGACCTGGACCTCGAAAGAGTCAGAGGCGACGCATAGACGCGTTTGAGATGTAGTGCTGTTGGCGCATTTTGCACATTCCTTGGACGGCTTTCCGAACAAACGCTTCCATCCTCAACGAACTAAAAGTTAACCAGAGGCTATCCACCATATTTTATGCCTTTAAAGAGTGCTTCAATATTTTGGTCATATACCAAGAAAAACCCTCTGACAACATGGAGAGACTCATAGTGATGGGTAAAGTGGATGAAAGACAATCCAAACGTCGGAGCCAAAAAAGATGGAGTGACCAAGCGGCCGAGCATCTGGACACAAGACTGAGCCAAGCACATCACTGTACTACTGACCGACATAAGTGGATTCAAATTACAAAAAAAGGTCACAGGCGGAAGCATCACGATGCTCAGCAATGAGCGATCGACTGAAGGAGGAGGAGGAAGTAAATATCAAAACCCACCTTGAGAGTTGAGGTCTAAGTCTCAAGAATAGTGTGATACACTACAGGTCATAGTGTAACAGCCAATCCCATCCTTCAAAACATGGCAGAAATGGGCAGGGAACCTTCGCTTGCGCTGTCACAAAACGCCCTACCACTAGTAAGCGAAATGGATGTAGGAACGGGCTAAAAAGTTTGGGTTCAAGGGAGCGTCATTATGAAGATATCCACCAGAACCCAGATACCACACATCATGTCTGACTATCAATTTTAACTGTCAATGCTGTTCTAAGAAATTACTAAATAAAAAAATAGACGACATTGTGGTACTTGCCAGTAAAACAACCCATCACCAGTAAATACAAAAAATAATAATATTATTCTAACTTGTATGAGAAATCGAAGTACATAAAATATGTAATTTAAATGCCAAATACAGATAAATAAAATTCCATGATTTGTAAAAAGTTTTTAAGATAGTGATGCTTAATTTATGAGTTTGTAGTGCTAACAAAAAAATCGAAACCAATGTTCCGTCGGCGGGAAACTTGAACTTTCCGATTTTGAGAAAACAAACCATGCAATGAATGTATGGTTTATGTTCATAGCCGATATAATTTACTAACATAAGCTTGCAATGTTAATAAAATTCACGATGTGATTTATTTGTCTAATGTATTATTATGTTTCATTTATAATATTACAAAACTGTATGTAAAATCTATAGAAGAAATTTGACAGATAACCTAAATATTTTGTTAAAATCAGTTTTGTAAATAAATAGAAGTTAAGTGTAACCTTGATAAACCCTGGTTTAAATTGTGTGATAAATAAAACAATAAAAATGCACTTATTAATACAAGCAAGTCCTCTGATCGATAAACTAAAACACTGGCATAGGTCTATATCATTCAGTGAAATTCAACTATCAACATCACAAAAGGTTAATTTATCTTAATAATATGGGCTATTTACTATTTATAAAAAAAATACAGCATACATTTCATAGAAAGAATTATTCTGAACTGCTTAAAATTGTTTATTCTTATAATTATTCTTAACTGTTTCCAAAAAATAGTTTTTGCAGTATTCTTTTTTGGCAGGTGGTGTTATGGAGCATAGGAGTAGTGGGTACTAGTGCAGTGGTGGTTGGAGTACTGTCAAGGTATTTGGCACGACGGCGAGCAAAACCAATTATCAATCCAAGGATTCAAAGAGCGATCAACAAAAGAATTTCAAGAATGAGGAGTCCCAATGGAGGTATAATTTATTTGTATATTTCAATAACTTCACTTCCACTTGTTGACTTTTTCGCACAATACCAATGAATCATTTCTTCCAGAATGAAAATTTTAGCTTCTGTTTTTACTGCTTATTTACTATTTTTAGTCATTTATTTGTATTAAATCAATATTACTGGGATCACTTAAAATAATGATGCTAGTAAATTTAAAATTTTATATCCGTGGTGATTATTGTATTTAAATGCGTGGGTGTGACATTTAATTTTAATAAAGTATTGAGTAGACTTATAGTAAAATTTATTTTGAAAAATGAAAAATAGTAAAGACCATCATTTCAATCATTTTCAATTTATTTTGTGATTTTCAACAAAATAAATTGACAATATATCCCGGTATGTCAAAATAAATGAAAATAAAATTTTAGGCATGGGTTCAGTAGCTAGCAGTGGAGGGAGGAGTAGCCCTTTGGGGTTAAGTGAGCGGTTATCCTTAGCCTCGGGTTCTATTGGTTCCGGAACGGGAGATGCAGCACCACTGTCACCTCAACAATTGGGAGTTATGGGTGAGTGTTCTTTACATTTTAGAAACAAGTACCAGCTTATTGATTGTTAAAATATGAAAAATATATGAATATTTACTTGTACATTTCTAATACCTACTTGATGATAAGCTAGCTACCTCTGGGAATAGATTTTACTATAAAATAAAAATAAACAAAAACCTGCAAAGAAAATTAGAGGATTACCAAAGAAATTTAATTGTCTTGTAAGATTAGAGATTAGAGACAAGATTATTAATGTAGCTATACAATTTATTAATTTTTTGGTCTTATATATCAATAGGGTGGAATGTATCAAAAATTTTAAAGCGCCATCTATCGTCGAGTAGCTAAATTTCTGTGACAAGCTAATTTGTATAATCGCGTACAGATGGAGCTAAAATAGAAAAAATATTATTTTAACCTTTAATCTAGTATTTGAAAATTTCTATGGACAATGTAGAACTATATTTCAGGACAATGCGTATTACGCTTAGTAACACCAGTAACTTGTGTTCATTGAATAAACTGCAATTGCTGGCGTTGGTCGCAATTCCTGATTCAAGAGTCACCTTGCACGAATCTACCTAATATATTAATCTGTGCCTTGCACCCACCGCACCCATTAAGTCCACTGACGTAATATAAATCGTGAAGTCCTTATTACTGTCACGTTCTCGGACGAGATTTTTATTAGTTTATTGCGTATAACGTCATAGGTGCGAATTTAATATTTCACAAACTAGTCACGAGGTAGACTGGACGGTAATTTATACATAGTATGAGATGTGAGTAGGGTATTTTACGGCATTCACCGACTCGGCTAATACCTCCGCATTGTTAAACAGTAGTACGTATTACTTTATGAAATTATATAAAAAGTACAGTAATAGCACAGTGTAACTTTTTTGTCTGATACTCGACAAAATTTTCCATAGAAAACGAACGTGACTTACCGACTACCGAACCTTAACGATAGTCACGGCTGGTAATGCTCAGATTCCGATAAGCAACTCTCACTCTACGATTACCTGTACCTTATCATTCGTTTCCAGCAGAACGATGGCTTAGTGGTGCTAGGCATAGGTACGGAGAGACTTTCGTCTGTTTGCGTAATCTACAAATTATTCCGTGCAGTACGTTCCGAATAGCTAGCGGACCTGCTACCTTTGATTACATATGAGTCGACTATTATCAAAGCCGGCAATCTGACTTTTGGACAATTATTGGTAAATCAGAAAAACGAATTATTGACTTTGTATTCCATTGGCAGTCACAAAACTCTTCGGAACGACATCTTAGATAAATAACAGGTTAACTATTAACCTTTATTTAATGCAGGTTTTGAACCGTATTCTTTGAAGGAGACGATTATATTCAAATCAATCTGTATTGACATATCAATAACATTTTTTTGTCCAAATGCACAGATTGCCACCTTTGATAATAGACGACTCATATTACGATTTTACCCCGGAACAGAGTTCACCAGTTTTACCTAGATCAATTTACCGGTATAATGCAATCTCAGCGATATTTTCTACCACTTAAAGCTCAGTCGGTCTAGCGATTGACAGGAGCCTCGTGTCATGAGTTGAATGGCGGTAGTGGCTAGTGGTTATCTAATACTACGGTAAACTCTAAAACCAAGGAAGTTGTCTGTTCCTTCACGATTTTTTTTTTACATCTAACTCTCCATATTCGATACTGCGATAGCCACTTTTTGTCTTCGATAACAATAACGAATACGATGGTAAGAATTATGTGAAAATAAATTATACAAAACACTAAAATTATCAATGTTAATAAAATGTAAATAAAGATATAGAATCGAAAATTTAACTAGCGTTAGCATGGCTCGTTGGTCTAGGGGTATGATTCTCGCTTTGGGTGCGAGAGGTCCCGGGTTGAAATCCCGGACGAGCCCAAAATTTTTTGTACATTTTACTATGATTATTTTTGACCTTTCTCTAAAAATGATGTGTTGTATTTCGTTTCAAACAGAAATATTGCTTTATTCCGTTGACGTCATTTCAAAACTGGTTATAAAAGCTAAGTAGTTAATTAGAATGAAATCTTATTTACATACATGTTATGAATGTAAATCGTGACAGTGTGTGACCATCATTACTATGACCTCGTAATATTGTGTTTCTGCATGATTATTGGATTCGTGTGACGAGGGATTTCAAACAATAGATAGCAGTAATGTTAAAGTTTCTCTAAGGATTTACAAATACTTGAAACGTTCAGGAACGTATTGGAATTATTGAAATATGAAAATAATTATGAAATATTTATACTGTTTTCAAGAATTACGATTTGAAAATTTTCTCCTGTATTTATGTAGGATTGTGTTAGATAATAACGTATTTTATAAACCTTACAAGGTTTCGACCTCAAGTCTCAAGGTGAGTGGCGTCATTCACTTTGTGATCTTTACGGGTTCTGGTATTCACTTAACCCCAGGTGCAATGTGAGTGCGGTCGTGAAATTGAGACTAAAGTCTCAATAAGGACTGTGGCATTCACTTTGGCAATACGTTAGGTACGGGATGATTGGGACACGTTTTTACCACGTTCCATTAAGTTGCAATGAATTGCCCTGCTACGGGGGCAAAACATGGGTAAGATGTGCTCCACACTAAACGCTTCACTTTCCCCCCTTTGCCTTTTCATGAGTTCTGTCTCATGCGAGGTTTGGACGTTGGTTTTTGATAAACAGGAGGTTTTAGTCAGTTCGACTCCGACATGCTCCGCCCGCCATCCCTAGTCGAGGGCGGGAGTCCGGCGATTTCCTCCTAACAAAAAAAAAGCATTTAATTCTGAATGCTCGTCTGTGCTCGTTTACGTTCGAGGCACGTTCCGACCCACTAACACCAGTCCGCCAGGGATGACGACTACGAGATAAGACCCGCAATCTACGATCAATCGGCATAACCATTGGTAAATGTCCCTCAATTAAGGACTCCGTTCCACTATCAATGTTTCATATTAGATTTAATGGAAGTGTCAATCTGATTATTTATCTGAGGTTTTGTTTTCTTTGAACGTTGAACTCAACTACGAGTTACGACACACTGCCAAACTCGATCTTTGAATAACAGGACGTATTGTGTCAATTTAGTTCTTGTGACGATTGATTTGGCGCTTGTAAAATAAGAAATGTAGCATTCGATGTCACCTTTTTCGTTGATATTTTCTATATAATTTAAAAATGAATATTAGTTTGTAGGTTTGTCCTTTATGTATTCTTAAGCCATTGATTCGGTTGTCATCAATGCTATAATTGCTGTTGGCACTTTAGCGAACGCTTGTGTTATAGGTACTCGTAGTACCATCGAACGGACCATAAATAAGGTAGCACGGGAGTAGTCAAGAAATCGATATATTTCATATAATTAATGACAGTCACAGATGCGCGTGTACGGGTTTCACTTAATTGATATACAATATATAAGTACTTTGAATCAGTATAATTGTAATTTTTAACAGTATCTTCATTTAATTGAAATCTCTTTTGAAATGGTTGTTTAAATCGGCTTGTCCTGAACGGTCAGAACGGTTACGGTAACGGTATAAAGAACTAGTGAATCTAGGCGTTTTTTCCCCTGCCTAAACGTTGTTAGTCTAAGATATGATTTGGTAGGGGAGCTCACGGAACTTGGAAGGACTTGCTAATGCTAGCCCTAGCAAGAGCAGGGCTTCGCTGAACATACCACCGAATTAGAATCGCGACCCACTGAGAAGATCCGGCGAGGGATTCAGCGGGTTGTGTCTATGAGCTAGGTTGCACGTCCTACGTTGAAAAAGCGGCACGACACGATAACCCATTTATCGTGGCTGCCGCTAATTACATACACATATCCGAACCTTTTTTTTTTTTTTTTTTTAAAAAGGCGACGAAGCAATGCAAAGCTGCCGTCGAAACTACTCTTGTCGGATCCCCCGGATCTACTCTCGATGCTTTTAGGCTCTTCATATACCTTTCTAGTCGACCTCGTCGAATAAGATTTAATATCATGAGATTTAGAACACTACGTTCTAATTTTAATTTATTTCTTAATTTCGACTCGTCAATCAGTTGGCTCGTTGGTCTAGGGGTATGATTTTCGCTTAGGGTGCGAGAGGTCCCGGGTTCAAATCCCGGACGAGCCCAATGCTTTTTTGTTCCTGAAGAAATAGTATAAAATGAAATTGTATAAGTATTACGTCGTATAATATAATACACGATATTATATTTTATTTTTTTCTATATTGTATGATTAATTATCTACGTGCAACATTCACTCACTTGAAATGTAGTAAACGTATGCAATCAACATTTCAGTATGTTTTATTGGACTTGCTTTATTGATAAACATAGACTAAGCAGGATCAAGATTATTCAAAATTTTCAAATAATATTATTTGATTACACTTATAATAATAAACCAAAAATGCAGTAAACGAATTTGATAAAAATATCGCCATAGTTTAGCATCTGATGGTTAAGCAGTGTTAAATAATTGAATAAAACCTATATTGATTTATTGTATTTATTTTAATTAATTTAATAAAATTAAATTTATTTATTTATTGCATAGATGGCTGGACGAGCTCACAGCCCACCTGGTGTTAAGTGGTTACCGGAGCCCATAGACATCGACAACGTAAATGTCGCCACCCACCTTGAGATATGAGTTCTAAGGTCTCAGTATTGTTACAACGGCTGCCCTACCTTTCAAATCGAAACGCATTACTGCTTCACGGCAGAAATAGGCAGGGTGGTGGTACCTACCCTTGCGGACTCACAAGAGGTCCTACCACCAGTAATTACGCAAATTATAATTTTGCGGGTTTGATTCAAGCAGTATAAGTTATACTTGTTGCAAGAAGGCGATAACGGTCTTCTGTGTTCTTAGTGCGAGTTTTTTAACGTTCTCGATAGCGTAAAAGTTAACTCAAATTTGTATGGAGTTGGAACGTTTCACTGCCGCTAGGGGTCTTTTTTTTTTCGGGCCGGGGTCTAACCTCCTACGAGGT